CGACCTGTTATATATCATATCTTCCTCGTTTGTTATGATTCACGACATTTTACACCGAGTCTTTGTGACATGTAGAGATTACTAATGGACTAAGGTTGTGCTTTTGAATGCATGGGCAAACTTCTACAATTCGTAAAGACCTATTAAACGTTTTATGTATATGATGTAGTATTGCAGAGACTATAACGGATTAAGGTTGTGCTTGAATGCATGGGCAAACTGACGTTATACATGTATGTAGATGGCATACTGGCGATAGTGGTTGCGGATTTAATGAGGGGGCAGAAGGACCTATGCCTCCTCTGAAAACGTATCAGCTTGATTTTGTTTTCGCTCCTTCTATACGAACCATCTAAGAATTAAGCGAATATCAAACTAAGATCTCAAACACAGCAACGGTTTCCTATGTCCCACGCTTCCTTCTTCTCTTTCTGTTTTAAAATGTTCATCTTCCCCTCCGTCCTTTTCCCTTCTTTTTCTTCATCTTCCTCTCCGTTGCCTTCTTCGCTTTCTGTATGTATGTGTTCTTCTTCCCGTCTTCTAAGTTCTTTCCCTTCTTCTCCTCCTCCTTCTTCTTCTTCTTCTTCTTCTTCTCCTTCCTTTTCTTCTCCTTATATTTATACTACTTCTTCTTCTTCTCAAGTTCTCCTCCTTTTTCTTCTTCTGCTTCTCCTTTTCTCCTTCTTCTCCGTCTTCTCCGTCTTCTTCTTCTCCTTCTTCTCCTTCTTCTCCTTCTTCTCCTTCTTCTCCTTCTTCTCCTTCTTCTCCTTCTTCTCCCTCTTCTCCCCTTCTCTTTCTCCTTCTTCGTCTTATTCTTCTTCTTGGGGAGCATCTGCCTTGATATTCCTGTCACTCCACCGATGGTAACAATGAGGACATTTTCTTAATCAAGTTAATTGTGACGTAACAAAGCACAGTGATTGATCGATTGCTGAAACCAGTTTCGCTGATACTTGTGATAACAATAGAAGATAGCGTCAGGGTGAGATGAGGAGATAAAATGAATCTGAATTGACGCCATTTTATCGATTTGATCATCGATCGCTAGTGACTGATTTATATCATTCATCAAGCGATCGATGCTTTTAGCTTTCATCATGTCCATTAAAGCGCCTTAAGTGAGAAATAGCATGTATCTCTGTGCTGTGGGATAATTGATACGAAATTGGCTCCGAATGTTTTTGTTTTCTCAGTTATGACAACTATTGGCAGAGTGAGAAATAAATCGGTTTGTGATTGTACCTGCGAGATGGCCTAAAGACCGCGCATACCCGAGTCCGATTTGTTGTTTCTTCTCAAAATTGCATGCCTTCTTGCAGCTATTAGGGACTTTTAGATTTGCACGTCGACATAGTGGACTGCTACGTGTGACGTGCTATTAAGGCACTGGCAGTGCCTTAAAAGGACGTCACATTGCCTTAAATGGACATCACACGTAGCAGTCCACTATGTCGACATGCAAATCTAAAAGTCCCTGTTTATAAGGTTCTTAAGACGGATTGAATAACAGTTGGTCGAAGCAGGGGTCGAGATTTTGTCCCCCAAATCTCACTGACGCAGAATTGTATGCATTACATTTTGTAATTATTAATGATAGCATAAATTGTATATTTTGGGTTCAGGCTGCGAGCCTCTTGGTTCTAAAGAAAACCTTATTCTACGCATGTTTCAAATAAATATTGAATACGACGTCTAAATTATGGCGGGGGCGTTGGATTTTTTTGTTTGTTAGCAACAAAATATATAGATAAACCGTATCAACAGTGAGAAAACTTCACGATGTTTGAAAATGATAACGAACCTGAGAAATCATCCCAATCAGTAAGCTTAAGCAAAAACTACAAAATAAAAATCAATTTTCCATGCTAGAATGACAATGGAAGAATATCCTTTCATGCTAGAATGACCTCCTGAAGTCGATTCAAATATTTGCACTATTGTGACCTATTATCCATTCATGGCGTATTGATTAATTGCCAAAGATGGCGTCCTGCGCAATTGTGCGCCGTGCGAAGGCCGATTAATGGAACAAAAGAAATGCCCGCGATCGGTTTTTTTGCTATCACAGTAATTGCTTGTCAATGTCGGACTCCGGCTGTGATGAGTCTGACCAAGAAGTTAGTCTGACTATAGACGGAACAATCCATCGACTTGGAGACGTTCTCTTTCCTTTCGTTGGAACACTCCTTTTGACTTTTTGACACTGCCCTCTTAGTCTTAAGGCCCGGTCACACAGAGGGGACGCATGGGGGACGCACGGCCGGCGCATGGAAAATTTGCAATTTTGGCCAGTGCGTTGTCGTGCGCCCAACTTTTGTCGAAGCTATACAGCTAGCTGACACCAAATGCATAGCGCGCTGGACGCATACAGGGCGTATACAGGGCGCACACAGGGCGCACACAGAGCGCACATGAAAACAACTTCCACGAATGCACAGCGTGTTGCTAGCGCGCTGGACGAATGGTCCACGCATGCACCGCGTTCTACGACGCACGGCCAGCGCATTGGAAATCGGAAAAGAACGTGTGCCTAACTTTTGTCATGATTTTGGAAAAGCTAGCGAGCTGACACAAAATGCACGGCGTGTAGCTAGCGCGCTGTGCGTATACAGGGCGTGTGCCCCGCGTTTGTCTGGCGCTGGTCTAGCGCGCTCCACGCATGTCTGGCGCTGGTCTAGCGCGCTCCGGCGCATGTCTGGCGTGCCTTTGGCGTGTATATTCATGCGTCGAGCTCGGCGCACGTTTTTGAGCATGCTCAAAAAATCCCGACGCACACAGCGAATGACGACGCATGCATAGCGCTGGTCCAGCGTTGGTCCAGCGCGCTCGACGAACGAGTAACGAATGATGACGCACGCCTAGCGAACGACAACGCACTGGCCAAAATTGCAAATTTCCAATGCGCTGGCCGTGCGTTCCCCATGCGTCCTCCCTGTGTGACCGGGCCTTTAGGAAAGGGATTCGGTGAAGCCAGATATAGTCTTATCGAAACATATTCCCGAACGAAAAGACTGATTTTTCGTTCTAGGCTGTGTTTTTCAACTCCTCTATGAATTCAGTATGAATGCAGTCGTATTGGGGAACGGTATTTGCTTTGGTTTGGCCAAAAATCACCTTAAATAATAACGAAGGACAAAGCGGGACATTTCGTCATAAAAAAGAAAATGTCGTCTGCACTTGAAACTTAATATGGACGAAGCTTAGGTTACGTCCACGCATGCTTCATGTCAAGCTCCCCTAAAATAACCTCCTCGATATTTATATAAATCGGATTAACGGATAGGAACTAAGATCGACGTTAAGTCCAACTTAAATAGAAGGCCAATCATGCCAATGGTTGCTTTCACCTTTATATAATATTTTTCCTTCAATAATGAACTATACAAAATTGTAAATTTTGTAGATATGTGAACTTGATTGTAAATCCGTTGAGAGACAAATGCCAGTAAATGGTGAGAGAAAACGGTCGCATGAACGGCCTGCCATAGTTAAGTCCAACCCAAAGTCGATCTTAGTCTTTGTGAAACACCCCAAGGGAGGGTGGAAAGCTAGGAAAAATACATAGTTTTAGTTTTCCTTGAATAGTTTGATATGCCCACATGTAACCAAAAGCGTGCTCTTCCAGTGAAATTAGCTGCCATTAATTTGTTTCAAAACAAGGATACGACTGTATAATTATGCAATCATTCAGGCTGTACATGTTGGTGACATGTTAAAAACGTTATTATGTGCAGTTTACCGTACCTATATACCTTGTGCGTTGTGCCGTGGTAATGTTTGCCGTAACTAACTCTTTTTGAAGAAAAAAAGTGATCCTTTGACCAGGGCCTTTGACTTGCGCAACTGAACCCCACCTAAAAGCCTACAGTGGTGTGATCGTTGTGCACTTTGTTCTAGCCATTCAGAAATAGCTGATAACAACAAATCATTCTCCTCGTTACCATCAATAGTTTCTATCTCTGCATTTAAATTCTAAAATGCCCCAAGTCCAGCTTTTTGGGGGATAAAAGGATGACCCAGAAGCCTGATAAATGCAAGGACTTTCGGAGCAACTGTTTTTTGTTAGGGGCAAAACGCGTCATTGTGTGCTAATAGATTTGTTCGTTATTGATACCTGTTAAATGAGCTGTTTGCCAAACAGATACTTATCACTGCAGGTACGTGATATAGCACATCCTATGGTTTCAGCGGGGATCAGGACCCTGTTTCATGAAACCTGTTATCAATAACAAGATGCGATCATTGTTATAAGCCACTGAAATCCTTAGCTTTGATTGGCTATGCGCAGATTTATTATAGATCTCTCGCAGTTGCTATTGATACAAATGTTTTATGAAACAGGGCCCACGGCCTTTTGCTTCTTTTATGAACCAAAAAGGATGTTTTCTTTTGGTTAGTTAAAAAAAGAAAACAATAATGACGATGCATTTTAATAGGAGAGGGAAAATAATAGGGAAGGCTTTGTCATAATTTGTGTAACTTTTGTCTATGAAAGTGAAATTGATATTGGTCCTCAGTATTTTGATTTCTATTGATACATTAATGTAATTAAGAATGTCCTTGCATTGAGAATCTGGACAATATTAAGATACAGTTAACAACTACATTATTCATACAGTACATTACCAAGTTTTGTAATTTTTTATAAGTACGTGAACAATTATTTTTCCCGATTTATGTTTCTTGAGAATGTGACATATTAAAGATTACATCTAGTATTCCGTATTTAACCAGTCCATTTTTCGTACTTGATTAACGGAAAACACAAGAAAAAAAAACATGAAGGTGACAAGGGGTATGAATAATTCTTTTTTTAAATGTATTTCCTTGTTGGCCAAATCTAGGACATACACTGATTCATACCAAAATATGTTAAGGTCATGTTTGTCAATATCTATACTACATGTACTTCCACTTACCCCCCTCAAAAAACTAAACATGACAATTGTGGATATTATACTTCATATCATCTTATTATATTTTTCATTATGTATTTGCAGACTGACCAAGCTTCGTCTTCTGTGGAATCAACAACAGATACCAAGGCAGACGATCAGGGGTCAAAGTTCATATCAGCATCATATGCTGGGCCTGACACTAATGGGGTAAGATCTGCAACAGGCCCATCCGGGCATCGCCAGAATATTTTGGATGGGATCAGACTTGCCTTCATAAAAGCAAATGTTTCAACTGAATATATAACCCCTTACATTTTATCACCTTAAAATATATTTCACAACAATACTATTTAACAAATTCAGACTGGTGTAGTAAAAACAAATCAATTAAACGTTTTGCTATGTTCTGCGACAGGTTCAGAGACAAAGACAAGCTATGTCACTTGTATTGCTGACTTAGGTCCATTCTTTCCAATTTCTTATAAAACTGTTCCTGTCTGCATACAGAAAAAGAATGATGTTTATGCGTGTAAGTAAACAACCAAGTGACCCACAGCTTTACATTCTCTCTGAGGGACTTGATAATGAGGATTAAAGCCTTATGAAAAGCCACAAGTGTATTGGCTTGGTTTCGAACCCGGGACCTCACGGTTATGAGACCACTGCTTTACCGTCGAGCCATCACGCCTCCTCTGGATAATCTTAACCAACTTTTTATGTCTATGATTTTCAGAGCACAAGCCAACGGTACTCAAGACGTAAAGCGTTGAAGAAAATGAGACTAAACAATGACAGGAAGATCATCTCCTATTTGAGGGTGAGTTATTTTTGGTTTTCCCAAAATTTATTATAAAAAGAATACCATATATTGATGACAGAATTACAGAAACAATACATATATCCAGCTGCAATTCTTTTAAAGAATCCATTTAGCTAGTTCTATTACATGAATTGGATTTATTTCAACTATTTTCTCTTGTTCAAATTCAATTTAAATCTTTTTAAATCATCACCACAAAACTGATAGTGATGAACAGGGTGAATATTTATGACCATATGTACTTACTCTAAGTCGCAAATGATATCGCTAGTGACATTCGTTTGTCTCGCAATGTATGGTCAACAAGAGATCTAAAAGATCATGACGTTTTGTGTGCCGCTGCTAAATTTCATCAGGCGATAAAATTAAAGCTTTCTTTTTTCTTTCATTTCTCAGCAACGTTTTCGGGAGCGACCTGAACCATGGATGGATAACGAGACTATAGATTCTGAGGGCCAGGGAGATAAAGTTTACAAGTTTAAGCCCAAGGTTTGAATATACAATTTAACAATTTCCATGTTTTCAAAAAGAAATTAAAATATCATTATGAAGTTGAAGAAACAATCTATGCACAACAAGATTAGTTTATTTTGTTTCTTGATGGATGGAGGCACGTCAAACTTTTCTAAATACTGGAATCTTGTTTTTTCATTCTACCTTTCATTGTCAAATGTATGACGGTCCTTTTTATTCTTCTTATTTTTCTATGAATTTTTGTAATATACCTTGTATTTGACCTTTGAAATGCTTTGTATATTAGTATTTGCATGTTTTTTAAACTGAAGAATGAAAAAAGACTGAACTGAGTCAGCTAAGTTAACATTTTACTGAAAGTAATTTTGTAAAAAGGTACCCTAGAATCAAATGAATGTTTAATACAAACCATGCGATTTCAGACCTGTATGATACTGCAAAATAAATAAAATGCTCATGCATAAACTGCCAATTTCCGCTTCATCTCCTGTTGTACAGACACCAGGTCGGGTTGATATCTTCACCAAATACAATGAAATTGGAGGTCGTGTCAGCAAGGAGGGTCACGTCCTGGATGGTTTATATCCTGGAGCCTTTTCCTTCACCCCTCTGCCGAAAGATCACCCTCCAAGCCCTGAATATGATGAATCTGTTCTGGTAGATGGAGCAGAGGACAAAGCTCCAGAGACATCACAGGAGGAAGTCCACAGAACTGTTGAAACCAGGGCCAGCTCAATCCTTGAACCATTGACCATCCCGGGAGCAGGAGCCAGTGGGGAACAACCTTTGTTTCAGAAGGGGAGTCCTGCAGTAACAGCTCTAAGCCATGACAGGGCTCCTTCTGAAAGACTTGAACTTCAGTCCATCACTGGCTTATCAGACAGTTTGTCCTCGATGGGATCTAGGAACTCCTCGGGTAGGTCACGCTTGTCAAGTGGCATGAGTCGTGACGGAAGTGTGGCAAACACTTTGGTCAGTTCCTCAAGAAGCCCAAAGCCTCCAGACTTAGCGATCAAGCCCGAGAAAGCAGTAGGAAAAAGTAAACCCGTGTCTCCTCTCGTCAGATCGCCAAGTCAGTTGTCACATTTGCCTTCAATCAGTACTAGTAGAGTATCATCACCACTTGCCTTGCACTCCGGCAAGGACCTGAAACTTCCTGCCCTTGGAGCGGACACCAGATGCCATTCAACAGTATCACTGGAATCTCCCAAAAGTGGACACCAAATGCCAGTCGAGGATGCACACTCTCGTGTATCTCCTGTACCTACTCCTTATCCGGACCATGACGATGGGCTGGACTCAAAGAAGTCTCTGGAATACCAGCAGATTGTTGACAGGGTTCTGAAGAGCAAGGTGGATGTCCACTGTACCTGGGTGTCCAATACATTTAGACTCTATGTGTCATCTACCTTCACCGGTATGGAATCTCTATTTTTAGATATATATCATTAATGTATGTAATTTATTAGCAAGCTGTTTTTTTTTTAAATATAGAATGCAATTTAGATCAATCAACATTGCTTTGGCATATACTAGTAGAGGATCTTTATAACTATGGTAGGCATGCACCCAGGGTGGGAATTGTACTTCAAAAGCCCAGTGCACTACTTTTAGCTACTTGCTCCCTCTATATAATAAACAATGCCTAATCGGTGCCTGTTGGTCACCCATAATCCTCTTTTTCCTATGTTAATTGAGAGCTGATTTCATGAGATAAGCACCTGTCAGTGACCTTGTATGGAGGCCTAATCCCTCCTGGCCAAACTAGTACAGACAGGCTTTAAAATACACGGTTTCATGTGCCACTAAGGTAAAATGGTCGAAAGCAATGGAGGTACTTTTACACTAAGATTAATACAATTCTGATCATGCATTTTTCATAGATTTTGGAGCTGAGCGCACTGTCCTCATAGCCAAGGCCTACCCCAGGCTGCGGGCGTTCTGTCGTGAAAGGGGTTTTGAGTTCCAGGTATGTGACATGAACTGGGGCTTGAAGGACTACTCCACAGACGATCATTCCTACGCTAGCGGCTGTTTGGCAGAGCTGCAGGAATGTGAGAAGGTGTCAAAAGGGCCATTCTTTGTGGTGAGTAAAATTGGATAGTTGGGATACTGGCTTCAGTGACAGTTGACTTCAACGCTTGACTGAACACCTTTCACACTCTCATTCAGGATGTATATCAGGGATCACTTTGTCTCAGAGCTGAATCTTCTCCTCATTAGTGGTTTAAAGCCCCACTGTCCTACTTGTAGCTACTTGCTCCCTCTATATAGAAAACTTTCCCAATCTGTGCCTGTTCGTCCCCCATGATCCTCTTTTTCTTATGTTAGTTGAGAGCTGAGTTAATGAAATAGCCACCCGTCAGTGACCTTGCTGTGTGGTCTAATACCTTCTGGCCGAGTAGTATTGACGGTCTCTAAAGTACATTTGGAGAGTGGAGTTCACTGTTTTTGAGCATGGCCTGAAGTGATCCCTAATGTGACTCCTGTAGATTTCTTATAGTAACCTTTATTAACCCTGACCCTTACCTTATCCCTTGCCATAAACCTAACTGACCCCAGTCAGAACCATAACTCTAACGCTATCTGTGATATATTTAGTTTGTAGTGATTGTCACCAGACCTTGTTAAATCACCAGGTCATAGGTCTAGCAGTATTTTGAAATCATTTGAAAGTCCTTGCATTTATTTATGAATTTTTGTTATAGAAACATACAGAAATGTGATTTATAGTTTGTAAGATGTTTATTTAGCTTAGCACTAACCCAGTCGATTAAACCTCTTCTATTTCTTGCATCAACAGTTCATATCCCTTTAATATCTTACTCAGGGAATATCTTTTTTGTTGCTTCCCCCTTATCATACTTTTTTCTTAGACCCTCATGGGACAGAAGATGGGATTCCAAGCTCTTCCAGATTCTTTCCCAGAAGAAGACTTCTCATCGCTGGTATCTGCGATCGAGAGGGAGAAGGCTCACTATGTAGCTACAAGAAGACCATCTGCGTTCCCTGCACAAAGGTAAAAGAATTTTCACAGAGGTTGAATGGAACCTATAATATGAATGTTGTGATATAATAACGTAGCTCGGGTAGCTTTAGCGACATGTAGGGAGACAGCAAGCACAATCCATGTGGGACCAGGGCCGTATTTCACAAAACTTGTCATCAGTGACTGGATTTAGCTCATGCTGCAGTCATAATTATAAACCTTTAGGTCAGTCAGGAATACCATGACTTTTACAAGCCGATCGCCTGTCCGATTATCAAGATATTTATGATTGGAAATCAAAATTTAAAAATTTGATTTCCTAACGGTTTTTATAACACCACAGATTGGTAGGGAAAATGAGTATGGTGAAACCTGTCACTCAAAGATTTTTCTATTTTTGAGGCACTACATGATTATTTTGAAGTGTTATTTATTCTAGAGCTTCAATATTACACCATATCACAGACGCTTATAACACGTAGGGCCATGCATCTCAGATTCAACATTGTTAAACGATACCTTTAACCCTTACTGTACTGGGGGGGGGGCCTGGGAGGCCCCCCCTCGACATTTTCGGAGATTGCGCCGCAACCGCTTGGAATTTTGAATTGTCGTTTCATGACTTTTTTCCCTCAAGTCTTACGCACATTTTGATACCATTTTCGTCGAAATCGGATATACCTGTAAGGCGTTACATAACAATTAGTATGCGCATGTCATCAAAAAAAAAAAAAAAAAATGAAAATCGCATCAAAATTTGCATAAATTATCATTATTAATTACATTAAAATATCTTTTTTGTGTTAGAAAAGAAGTTTCATATGAATAATGAGTTTCAACATTCAAAAAGTGGAGTTTGACACGTTTTCGGTAAAATGCATAAAATTAGCGCATTTTGCATAATTAATTAGGCTAACGAGAAAAATTTGCATATTCGGAAAAAACTAATTATACCATCTTGTTCCTTACGTAAATATCTACAAACATGCAAATTTTCGTGTTCATCGGACAATCGACGGCCGAGATCATAGGGGGGGGGGGGCCTCCCAGGCCCCCCCCCCCCCCCCCCCCCCCCCCCCAGTCAGTGGGTGCTCAAAATAGCCCAGTACAGTAAGGGTTAATGGAATGTAATGGCATAAATATTTATTTAAAAAAAAAATCATCTGGCCAATTAGTCACAACCTTTCTTGGATGTAGGCCTGCACCAGACATACAGTAGTAATGTAGATGACAGCATAAAGAATCCCAAATAAGGGCAAAACAAACATTACTTGGCCAAAGTTTTCCTTGGTTTAAAGCCAGAGTTTTTATGTGCCACTATATCTTCCATACATCTAGGCCGACTGTTGGACAGTTGACATTCTACTTGGAAATCTAAAACTTACTAATTACTAACGGGAATATATGTGTTTCAAATGGTAAATTGATTGTTTGTGACGAAGAGTGAGGTATACTGGTACAAGAATTCAATTAATCAAGGGATTTCATGATATCTTGAAGGTGTTTAGCTTTTCTTTCAATGTATGTGTTTGTGGGATTCTTCTTCCATGTTCTGTGTTCGCTTTTTTATTACCATACTGCAGTATTGAGGAGCAACTGAACAGTCGACCCATCACAGTAGAGTCAAAGAAAGATGGAACCAGGTAACTAGATAAAATCTCGCGCTTCGCACATAGATGTATAGAATTTCTGTAAGAGATCAAGTTAGAGTTAGTAACCCTTGATACTCAGTGAACAAATTAGCCCATCTTGTATAGTGCATGCCAAGATCATTACCACTCATAACTTAAAGTGAATCCATTGCCATAAGAGGAGTTGAACTTACTATCAACCATTACTCACAGTTACTTTCAATCCAGTTGTTACATTAAGATCACAAAACATCAAAACATATGTATTTTTCTCCTACAATGAATTCAAACATATTTTCTTTGTCTTGATACCTGTGTATTATATGTAGTATATTTGTGCAGATTTTCATATTGTTGTTTGCTTGCTTAATGATTTTATTCATGTGCATGATTTTAACCTTGTTTGCATGTAAAAGGTGATGATGCTGTTACTAAAAAGTGTCAACTGCAAAAATGTTTTGTGGCGATGTAGTAGATTGTTATGAGAAAAGAATTGCTGTACATTTTATATGTATCGATTTCATTTCGTAATTAATCAGTTTCATTTTGTAATTAATAAGTTATTTTGCCTTTGATGTTATAGTCTAATGTTTGCCCAATGTTTTACTTCAAATGAAGTGCATGCTAACATTTTGCCTGTTTATGCTTTGTGTTTGAATAAAAAAAGTGAGCTTTTTTGTTTTCCCTTTAATTACCATAATGCCATTCCGAATTGCTGGAGTTTTGCTCGTTAGATTTTCATCTTTCTGTTATCGTTTGTTTAGATTTGTCACAAGAGCATCAATAATGACAAGTAATGTGCATATGTATATTTTTCTCCAGATTTAAGCTCATCAGAGGAACCCGTTTTATGATGTAAAAATTATCAAAGTCTATTCAAAGCTTTAGGCACAGTTTTCCTTCACGCAACAGTTATTTAGCAAACACATGGACCCTTTTTACAAGCAATTCTTTTGTCTATTTGCACATTGCAGTGAATGATTTAAAAATGTGATGCACACAAGGTTTCAGGGCTTAAAATGCAACAAAATTTACAATTGTTAAGGGGAACATTATACTCTAAGAGGGATTATGTGGATGCAATCACTCTTTATCTGGAGATAAATGGAATCTTATGCCTAGACAAAATTCCTCTTTGTCACCAACTTCACATTATTTTTCCAAAGGTCTCACTGCTTTGACATCAATCCAGAACTGTTATTACTGTGTAACAAAGATAATCATTGAAACATGCTGCTTACAGTCACCTGCATGCTATGACTTCATTGCCATTCCTACCATCACCCCTTTTACATATCCCTCTTTTCATCTCATTTCAATGCATGTGACCATTCTCTCTCCACCAATAAGTACAAAACGTTCTTTCCTGTCTGGTGTTAATCGCATGATGCTTACCATGAGGGTGTTTGGAGGGATGACTCGACGGTAACACGCCTATGTTTCTATCGGGCAAGTCCAAGCCATTTTGTCCCATACATTACCGACCACACCTTTGATTTAATATTAAATCTAATATCAGTAAGTGGGTAATTGGGTTTATTTACCCATGGTTGCCACATACTGCTTTTCCTGCTGGCACTGCTATTTGAATTTGATTTAATTTAATTTAATTTATTTATTTCACATATGGTTGAATGTATACAGAAAACAAACAATTTTACAAAACAGAGGATATAAAATCTGGAAACAATATTATAAAAATTGAATTAGTAATATGTACATTATTGACAGTTGAACAAACTTGACACTAGTTTGAAGATTATTGAAGGGTCAAAAAACCATGTACAAACACCAAGCAAGGGTCAAATCCCAGGATATTTCATATGAGAGTCAATAGCCTTCACTATACCGTCCTGCTCCCACAATGGTGACCGTATCAAGTTGAAAACATTACCAGACAGACCTTGAAAGGGATCATACATCAAATCAAATGATATTCTTATAATAATAATAATCACATTTGTATAACGCTTAATACTACTTTTATAAGCGCTTTACATTGTAATTACTATCACCCCGGTCATTGGATTCAAGTGCTCATCTGTACATGATAGTGCACATTCTCTGCTCCCTTGGGAGCATTCACATTTTAAAAAGACACACATGCCAATCCAACCACACCAAAGTTCACAGCCTACCGGGTACCCATTTAACACCTGACAAATATAGATTAAAGTCGTGCCAAAGGATATATTCTTCTGTCAATTTTCTATTCACAATTCCATTATGGAGTTCAATGGTGCTTGGTAACGTATGGGATATCACTTGGACATGCCCTGTTTGTTTTGATAGTGAGGGAATTTTACAGGAATTTCTGTTTGTTAATTTGTTTTGGTGGAAGGAAACGTTCTCTGTTAGTAGTTATTATTGTTGAAGCAAGAGAAAGGTATACAACTTAGAGAAGTTATTAAATGTACCGGCCTGGTAATTTTTGAATTAGATTTACCTGGGAATATTGTTATTCTTTGTATGCATACAAAATGCGAAAATTTATGAGAAGAAAAAATTCATTTAATTGTTTATAAATTACTAGGATTTACTGATTATTTAACAACAAAATATTTATGTGCATTTATAACAAAGGATTTTTATGACATTCCCTGAATGATGCATTCTCTGAAATGATTAGTTAAGGTTTAAAATCAAATTAAAGTTATTCTTAAATTTGTATGGATATCATTCGACATATCTAAAGAAGTTTAAAGAACATGTTAGCTTCAATAAATAATAATAATAAAAATTGCTTTTATATAGTGCTTAATACAAATGTCTCTAAGCGCTTTCCAAATATAGGAGAAATCATGAAATCATGAAATTCTTTGTTAGAAATAGAAATCACCATTGTATTCACCTTGCATGCCTTCTCATCTTTATCACTTAACGCTTTCTAACTTTCACCTGCTCTTTCCATTATGTGCATGCTTCATTCATGATAGTCGGAATTCAGTATGGCGGTAAGTTGGTGTTCCTCATTCTGTGTTTATGATGAAAGTTTCTCCCTTTCAACTCTCATCAGAAATAATTTTTCTTATTCAGTTTTGTGTTCCATGATCTCTGCTCTTTCTTAACAACCCTCCAAGAAATATGTAGATATACATTTTTGATTAATGGTCAACTGTGCATGAGAGGATGTTAAGATGAATTGTGGTTGTGAAAATGTATGTTATAACCAAATATTTGATGAAGATATTTATCCTTTTTTAAAGTAGCAGTTTGCAAATTCCTCACTTCAGTTCAGTTCACTTTATTCAACCATTTATAATCAAATAAACAAAGCATGTACATATGTAATACAAATAAAGAATGGTTCTGCCCGGATTCTGAGCAAACTAATTTAGTCTTTTATCCTGCCAATAGGTAAATCCCATCATTTGAAACATTCACTGATTACAGCTAAGCATAAATTTTATATCACATCACACAAATACAATAGGGGACACAAGCTCAGTGGTAGAGCAGTGTTCTTGTATAGGTCCCAGGTTCGAAACCAAGTCAATGCACCAGTGTCCTTTAGTATGGAATGCATTCATCCTCATTACCAAGTCCTGCGGAGAGGACTTAAAGCCATATGTCCCCTGTTTGCTTAATTATACTAACATACTAATGCTTTCTCAGCAGTCGGGTAAAACAAAACATCCAACCAAATCGAACCAAATCAGACTAAATCCAACCAAACCAAATCGAACCAAATCAAACCATATCAAACCAAATCAAACCAAACCAAATCAAACCAAACCAAATCAAACCAAATCAAACCAAATCAAACCAAATCATACCAAATCCAACCAAATCGAATTAAATCCAACCGAACCAAATCAAACCAAATCGAACCATATCAAAAACCAAATCAAACCAAACCAAATCAGACCGATTCAAGCCGCCAAACCAAACCAAATCAAACCAAATCAAACCAAATCAAATCAAATCAAACCAAACCAAACCAAATCAAACCAAATCAAATCAAACCAAACCAAATCAAACCAAATTAAACCAAATCAAATCAAATCAAATCAAACCAAACCAAATCAAACCAAATCAAATCAAACCAAACCAAATCAAAGCGAATCAAACCAAATCAAATCAAATCAAACCAAACCAAATCAAACCAAATCAGATCAAATCAAACCAAATCAAAGCGAATCACCCCCACTGTATCAGGGTTCCTTGTCCCCACAACTAGATTTCTTTTATTTTAAGATATCCCACCACTGCCACCATTAAATTAAAAATATACAATATTTCTTTTAATGATGGCTATAAATGTATCACTAAATCACTTTGTGATATTGAAGATGATAATAATAATAGGTAATAGTAATGATAATGATGATAATAATGATAGGTGATAGTAATGATAATGATGATAATAGAATGATAATAATGATAACAATTGTAATGTACATATTTTTATGTTTATGTTTATACATAGATATACTTCTTTAGCCTGCAGATTAAACATTATGATATGATATTAACACTCATGTAATTTCTTTAAAAAGATGTTCCATGTCAACTTATCAGTACTTTCTTGTTCCATTTAGTGAGGTCGAAAGGTTGCCAGCGGAAGGCCAGGAAGACCTGGAGAAGGGCCCTGTTGAGAAGGAGTTTGAGGCGGATCTGAACGCCCTCCAGACTTGGTACAAGCTGGATGAGAATAATGTTCCACCTGTCTACATCTTACAACCAATCAGGTGAGAAGGGTCACATGGTCATAGGGTAATTAGGTGAAAGGTGATATTGTGGATACATTGTAAAACTTCAATGAGAAGCAAATTCAATTAAAAAAAATATTTCATATCAAGGCCCTCGCAGAAGTCAAGGGCAGTCTATAACTAATCAGTGCATCCAGAATTTGTGCGTTTGTGTGTGACCACCCATGAATCCCTCTTACTTTGAAGTAGAGGGCAATTAATTGTGTTATTAAAAATTAAAATATCTCTTTACAACGGCAAGAAATAAGGTTGAAAGTTCAAATTTTGACCTCAAAATACACACAACAGTACGATCTACCAGGTCTGATAATTACCTGATTTAAATCTGTTTCCCGATTTTTGTTTTTGATATTTTTCCAATTTTTTTTCTTACCCAATTTTATCCATATTTTTCCTTATTTTCCCCTTATTTTCTCTATTTTTCCCCAATTTTCTTACTCAAAAGGGGAAATGTTGTTAGATGCCATTCCCCCCCCCCCTCCGAATCCTCTTTTTTGTTTACTCAACGGAAGCGTGGTTGAGGGAAACCACCCCCCCCCTTTTTTTCTAGTGCTCACTATCACCTGTGATTGACTGATGCCATTAACTTCTTGATTTTCCTTTTTCACACAGCTCTCAGTTCAGAGAGATCCTGAGCAATGACAAGCAGAAGAGACTGAGAGCAAAGAACCAATGGCTGGTGATGTACAAGAGACTCATCAAGACTCTCACAAAATATGTTCCCATGGCCATAAAGGATACCAAGAGAGCAGAGACATATCTACAAACAGGTAGGAAGTGAACATTTTCCTTAGGGAGAATAAGCATTGCCAGCTTAACTTCTGTCTTATGTGTCTTGTTTTAGGCCTTTAACACTTAACTTGAAACGCTCATGCATGTATCCTCGCATATATACTCCTTTCATTCAATCCTTTCTAGGCCTTTTACAGCAGTTTTAATGAGCATTGCTCTAAGGGGTCGTTTTCAAGCCGATTAGATGTACAAACATCGGTATTTCTGAGTCAAAACAGTTGTGTGAAGAAGAAAAAAAAAGGTTATGGAGAAACTAATCCAGCCAAATAAAATGGGTCAAGGAGAGTTCTGTAGACTACCAAGACTTTATGTAAACTGTAGTTAGAACAAATCTAAAATGTAGCTTAGTGAACAGGTGGAAAGACCTTGGAGAGTATTTCATAAAAAACAGAAAATAGGAAAAGTTTGAAAATTCTAGAGCACAGAAAGAAATGGAGAAAAATTGGGATGTAGAAGAAATTTTTAGAAGAGAATCTTGAGTAATAGTATCGATGCGTATAAATAAGAGCAAGATGCACAAAATTATGAATTATCTTGGTCAATAATACAACAGCAGGATAGTCGACATTATATCCCTCATGTATAGTTGTTTGCATTGCGATTGTACAGAGCACGAAAAAAGGTATAGACAAGTACTATCTACCTGAGATAGTACTTATTGTAAAGTAATTTTTTGCTGCTACCCCACTTGCCCACCCTTGCCCTTTGAATACGCATAGCAAAGTAGGTTAAGCGAAATGTCAAAGTCAATGTCAATGTCAAATGAGCGCGCATCGACTGTATTACATGTGTATGCATGTTGCGCTTTGTAAAATCTAGCTGAAGCTAAACTGTCTGCAGAATCAGTTCTTATTATTATGTAAAATTCACTTTAAATAGACCTTATTGCCGATGTGCGATACAAAACAAATATTAACCTCCTTTACTCGGGCAATGGATACAAATTATCATCGCCTCGGTGATCTCGGGGCTACCATCAGTTCCCTCGCCTTGCGGCTTGGGAAGATAGTAGCCCCGAGATAACCTCGGCGATGATAGTTTGCACCATTACCCTCGTAGTCGATTAATATTTGCTTAATATGAACAGAAATTTTTTGTTTCTCAGCTTGAATAAAACTGATTATTCCTCTCTTTTAACACTAAAGTAAATGAAAGAGAGTTGGACCATGCAGTGTTTTCTGCCGAGCCAGAGAAAAGCAAAAAGGTTGCCAGCTTTGTGCGGCACATCAAGGACCTCGGGAAGAACCTTCAAGACTACAACTCCAAAGACTTCATCGACCTGCAGAACCTGAAGCCAGAGATTGACTTTCCCAAGTTCGAAAGAGTTGAAGACCTTCGAGATGTGAAAGTACCACAGAGGGTAGGTTTTTAGTCTTTAGCATGTAATTATTCAAATAAAAGTGGGGGAAAGAACCTTTGCTCATGCATGGCCTTTGCACCTGAAATTGTTGCTTAGGGGCAAAGTTGAAAAAGGTACAGCTGACTAGTTGACATTATTTGCTTACTGGATTGAAAAACGCCGCCACCAATGCCCATTACAGAACGATGTATATTGACCTATAGTCAGCATACATATCATTATTTATTTGTATTTAAATCATATTTTTCTCTGACCATCAGTGTTGGAATGGGAAACTCATATGACCTAATAAAAGACTGATTCCCAGTTTCTGCAATAAGATCTTTAATTTGCTCCTCATTCTTTCACTTAATGCAGCTAGCTCAGAGAAATTCATGAAAACCAAGATTGATATGCATACATACCCATTTAAAACTAAATTGATGTAAGCTATACAGTATAAGAAAAGAGCACCTTAACACATCAGCTGGATAAAAACAGATGTATAGGCTATGAAAGTATGTTATTCCTTCGTGACAAGGGAAAAACTAATGATAGTAATAATAATAATAATAGTGGGTTCTTGTATAGCGCCCATGTCTGTCAGACTTGACACTCCTGGCGCTCCCGATTATTACCCTGGCTTTAGTACGGCTACCATTACGGCGCTCTAGCATTTCAAGGAATTAATTTCTGCCACATACCCATTTACATCACCTTGGTTGAGTGTGGCAAATGTAGATCATTGTCTTGCCAAAGGACATGAGTGCTTTGGCGGGACTTGAACCGCGGACCTTGTGATTGACAGTCTGGTGACTTATCCACTCGACCATGACACCTCTAATGATGAAGATATCCCACCGCTGCCACTGGTTTATGGCATAGGGTGTTGTGGTCTAGATGATTAGTTTCTGGCCAATGGATTGCAAGGTATATGGTATGAAACAATCCCACCCTTTGGCTAGACAGTCATAATATTGAATTACCACACTCATCCCAGGTGAATATAAATAAAAGTGGAATGACTCAGTGAAATATGAAGAGCTCTGTTCCAAAAGGTAATACATCCATAAATCCAAGTTCTGAGAAAAACAAAAAAAATGTCTAGTATCATGGTTAGCAATGTCACTTTGGAATTATACTCTGGATGATTATACTATTGCATGATACAAGTATAGAAACACTCTTTAAAAAGATCAAAGTCTGCACAAATAATTTTTATGATTTTTTTTTTTTTTTTTTTGTGTATGAGGCTACTGGGAATGTGTACATTATGCAAAAAACAAAAACAAATCTATTTGATATAAATGGATGTAGTACCTTTTGGAACTGAGCTCTTCATATATCTTTGTTATATTTCCGTCTCATAGATTGGCTTCAGTAATGTCCATGAGCATAGCATCATATGGCACAAAGACGGCGTCAATCCTACCCATGTGCGGGTGCATTCTCAGTACCTTGACGGACTTGCCAATGAGTTCTTTGATACCATGAAAGTCAAACTAGAGAGGGCGATGTACGAAGATACGTCACTTACTACTGCACCATCATACAGTCTTTACGAGGAGGTCGCCCAGCATGTCAACTTTTTACAAGAAAGGTAAGTATATATGAATGAGCGAAAAGATATGAAAGAAAAAGCAAACGTGCATATACATTGAATAAGATCACGAAATCAGGTTCGAAAGGAAATAGAGCACATTTTATTTTCTCATTTCCACTTTCGTAATTATTTATGTGAATAAGACCAGTAGACTTATAATCGAAGAGGATTTATAATGTTGAAATGATAATAAATAAGTATGATGAAAAAAGAAGAAGAATTAGGAGGAGAGAAGAGAAGAAAAACATGAGGATGGACCGATGGAGGGGAGGTTCCACTATCACTTTGGGGTTACAAAATCTCACAATAACATAGAAAATAAATTGGAAAAGAGGAGAATTTTTTTTAAAGATGGTTTTGGAAAAATTAGATGTTCACTGAAGAACAGAAATCTTTCTATTAGGAGGAGTAATAGACATGTAAGGAAGCAAATTAGTTATACATCGCAAAATTCAAAACAGTTTTGACTTTACCAGCGCCTATAATCATGCTTCCAATTAATCTATTTTACTGTGATTATTAAGACACTTTAAAATGATTTATGAAGTCAATGTTCATTTTATATTTATTCTTGGGAACCTACAAACACTAACTATGCTTTCCATTAGGTTCCTGTTTCATTTCATAATTTTGAACTTACTTTGTCAACTATGTTCTTTATTGTGCAAACAATTGATACATGAAATGGAATAAATTCAAAGCAATCAATCAATTATCTCTAGGTCTAGACGTTTCTATGGTAGGAAGGAGCCCCTGCAGTACATCAAGCAGTATCTTCTAGGAGACAGTCGGACACCCCTTGTGCTCTGTGGACTAGATGGTAGAGGCAAGACATCACTGATTGCCAAAGCTTGCCAACTCACCAACTCATGGTTAAAAGAGTAAGTAAAAATGTCAACATTTCAAAAACAAAAAAGTATAATAAACAAATACTTGGTAGAATCGTATTAATGAAATAATTTGATTTCAGTTAATTAATGTCGGAGCCATACAAATCCATCTACATAATGTGTTTGTATAGCATCACTTTAGTATATTGTATACTTGTACTTGTTTGTGGCGAAGCATATACTATAGGTATTGCTCTGTTTCCCTCAATATCTACTTTTCCTATACGTTTTTAGTCACCAGTAAAAATAAATCATCATCAAATCATTCTATTATGCATGTGTTACATGTATTATTAAAATGCATGGCCACATGGATTGATTAAGTAAATAAATCTTGGTCTATGTGCTTGTTCAATGCTCAGAACACATATTTAGTTTTCTAATTCATTTTTAAATTGTTTGATGTAAATGCTCACTAATGGGGCTTTCACATATACACTCCGGGGCCCGTACGGTGAGTAAAAACAGACATTTTGGGAATTTTTGGCCGGTGTCCGGCCGGTTGCCGTAAAGTTCCTACGGGCGCCGGGACGGTTTTTTAAGCCGTACGGGCGCCGTGGTGCTGAGTTGGCTGCTCCCAATTCTCCCAGCGTTTTTATCTGACCGTTAGGCCGTAGAAAGCCCGTACAGGGCCCGTAGGGCACTTTAAGGGTCCCTTGCGGGCTCCGGACGGTGCCCGGACGGGCCCCTCACGATTTTGGGGGTCAATTTCCCATGAAAATCTTTACGGGCGCCTTGCGGTGCTCAAGGGTTCCGTAGGTGTACCCTACGGCGTCCTCACGGCCCCTCAAGAGCCCCGGGTGATATGCACAACAACAGGCGTCTGCCGTCCGGGGGATATTTAAAATTAATATTGCCCGTGCGGGTCCCTCACGGCAGCATACCAGAGGACACTTACAGAGTGAGTCAGAAAAAAAGTCTCACTTTTTAAAAGTTGTATTGTTTGAAGTATGAAAATGCTTAAGGTCATCATGATAGAGACCATCGGTATTATCAACACTTGTGAGCTGGCTGCACCACAAACCCGTTTTTGTTCTTTTGATTTGTTTTTTGTTTTTATATATTATGTAACAAACGTATTATGTAAAGGGAACCTTAATTACAAGCATAATGCTTCAAAGGTTTCCTCCTCATTACTGCGGATTATGTTAGCATCATTTGTATTTAATGACTTGCCATTATTTTTTTGTTTATTACTGTTGTATCGAATATTATGTACATGTTTTTGTTACCTTTTACGATCCTCACTTTGTAAATTCCTTTCATATGCAGTTAATGTGGAAATAAAACCTTTAAAAAAAAGGATGAATATTTAATCATGAGTTTCATGACATGTCTTAATAACTCTATCACGATATATCATGAAACCCATGATTAAATATTCATACTTCAAACAATACAACTTTTAAAAAGTGGGACATTTTTTCTGACTCACTCTGTAGTTCAGTGCACCGCACGGCACCTGGCCGGGCCCCGACAGGGCACCTTCCGGGAGCCATCGGTTCACCTGATCATCGGACGGAACCCGTAAGGTAACTGGCAGGCACTCGGCCGGCACCCTTACGGGCGCCGTGCATTTCACTTGACCAATTTTCCCCGGGCACCTCCCGGGCGCCGCAGAATATGTGACCACACATGCCGTAGAAATGACAATCGGACGGTTCCCGTACGGTCTCTAAATCCACGGCAAGCCGCCAGGTAGGGAAAATCATACGGGGCCCGGTTTATATGTGACCTAGGCATTATTTGCAACATCCAATATAGTAAGTGTCCCTTACCATTGTCTTTATCTGTGCTTTTTATGACTGGTCAAGTAAACTATAAAGATAATAATATTAATAATAATGATGATATTTGTGTTCCAGGCAAGAAGCAGCCACAGTGGTGAGGTTTGTCGGCCTAACTGCTGAATCAGAGAACATCCGCTGTCTACTTCAAGGAATATGTCAACAGATCAGCCACACCTATAGCCTCGATCTTGATGCTGTCCCTGAGGTAGGTTCAAGAAACTTGAGTTAATTTTGTGAGTTTGAGTTTGAAGTTTATTATCCAAAACACAAAGTACATCAATATAACAATGAAATGTGAATGGTTAACATTGAAAGGATAAATGGGACCAGAAATTTGCTGCAGTCCCTGAGGTAGGTTCAAGAACTTGTACACATTTTGTGAGTTTGAGTTTGAGTTGAGTTTGAGTTGAGTTTGAGTTTGAAATTTATTATCCAAAACTAAAAGTACATCAATATAACAATCAAATGTGAATGGTTAACATTGAAAGGATAAATGGGACCAGAAAATAGCATTTATTGTTAATCGTGTCTGGTACCACTAACACACAAAAGTATCACAGCAATGAATGAGAATGTAATGGATAAATATGAATAACTATTGAATACATATTTAAGCTACAAGCTATTCTACATCTAGGGTAAATATGTTCTGTGATTAACTACAGAGCTTTGGTATTTTACACTAAATAAAAGATAAAGAACTATATAACATAATATTTACAAAAAGGCAAGATCCTTGGTTCAAAGTTAAAAACAACTATTCTATTAACATTTGTGATATTAGAGTTCTACGAAAGCAAGACAAATGTGTAAAATGCGTAAGACTATTTTGTGCATAAGGTTGAAGATTGTGATCTTTAAAATGTCGGGGCTAGTAGGTCAATATCATAGTCGTCAGTTGACATTTGATTATTGGCTTTTTGTTCTTTCATCTTGATATTTCAGGAATAATTTCGTTCATTTCCTACATTAAATTTGATGCGTAAGACAATTTTGGGGATAATGTTGAAGATTGATATTTTTAAAATGTTTGGGCCAATAGGTCAATCATAGTTGCCAGTTGATATTTTATTATAGGCTATTTGTTTTCATTGTTTTATATGTCATGAATAGTTTCATCCATTTCCTATACTAAATTTAGGGTGGAGGCATATAAGAGATGCTGTTGCATTTGTCTTGTTCTATTCTGTTGTGGGGGGGGGGGAATATGGAATAAGAATCAATATGTGGATACTCTAAGTTTGTTCCAAAAACATAGCTTGAATTCATTTGAATGATTTACTTTTAAAGAATAGAAGGGAAGTGAATAAGGGATGGGTAGAACATCACTTCACAAGACAAATCAAGAGAGTGAATGGGAGAAATGCACTGTAACTCATTGGAAAAAAATAATTTACAAGCTGATAGGGCCAGAAGGAAAATAGTTAAGACAAACCATATTGCTTCATTCCAGCCTTTTCAATATTGAAAGAAACAAGTTCGAATAGAATGGATAGATGCTCCTTTGATATTCATTATCAATTAATATAGTTAATCCAACAATATTTGTCTTCTTGTTCTTCCCTGACGCAGGACTTCCATGCACTGATCAACGACCTTGAGGGGCGTATCACCATAGCAACAACTCAACATCCCCTCATCATCTACATAGACGGCCCTGATAAACTCAGTGATGATTACAAGGCCAGGTCCATGGTCTGGTTACCTAGCAACCTACCAGAGAATGTGAAGATAGTGGTATCATGTACTACTCTGGAGGAGGAGAAGACAGATAGTTTCAAAGCTTTGAAGGTATTAACCCTGTTTGTGGTACTTAGCTGAAAAACATTTGCTATAAATAAACTTATAATTGGACAATCTTAGCTTAAGTCAGTGTTTGATTGTCATATCTCATAATGTACGATGTTCTTTGAAAATAAATCATAACCCGTTGCCTATGTGGACATGTTGATCCGTGTGTTCAGCCTTCGCGAATGAGATCATTCAGTGTTCAACAGGTTAAATGTAGATGTACTCTGTCCTTTCTAACCTTAAAGAATTGCCAAGAAAACGAGGGTGTAGTGTATTCCAAAATCGCCCTTTAACCCTTACTGTACTGGGGGGGGGGGGCCTGGGAGGCCCCCCCCCCTCGACATTGTCGGAGATCGCGCCGCAACCGCTCGGAATTTTGAATTGTCGTTTCATGACTTTTTTCCTCAAGTCTTACGCACATTTTAATACCATTTTCGTCGAAATCGGATATACCTGTAAGGTGTTACATAACAATTAGTATGAGCATGTCATCAAAAAAGTGCTATAATTACATATATTCATGTACAAGCAGAAATGTGAAGATATAAATTGATATCAAATTGCTTTTATATGTTTCTCAAAGTAACTTGATGTATTTCAGAACAAAAGAATACATTAGAAATAAAACAATAGATATAATGAGAAATAAAAAACAATAAAATACATAAGAAAATAAATAGTTGAAAAACGCATCAAATTTGCATAAATTATCATTATTAATTACATCAAATAACTATTTTGTGTTAGAAAATAAGTTTCATATGAATAATGGGTTTCAATTAACATTAAAAAAGTGGAGTCTGACAATTTTTCTAATGATTCTAGTTCCCTATATATATTTTCAGATTTAATATTCATGAATGCATATTCATAATTTATGCAAATTAACCTATGTATTTTCAAATATCATAAAATAATGAAACCTCATGAATTTGAGATGAAGGAAACATTTATTCAATACATTTTCAAGATTCTTCACAAGTCTACGGACAAATGTGTAGAGTTTTCTGTAAAATGCATAAAGTTAGCATTTTACATAATTAATTAGGCTATAACGACAAAAATTTGCATATTAGGAAAAAAACTAATTATAACATCTTGTTCCTTACGTAAATATCTATAAACATGCAAATTTTCGCGTTCATCGGACATTCGACGGCTGAGATCATAGTCAGAGTCAGAGAGTGCTCGAGATAACCCAATACAGTAAGGGTTAAGGTATTCTTTATAAAAAACTGCTTTTGAGTTAAGAGTTGGAAAAGTAGACATGATGGCTCAATGGTAGTTAATCTGGAGGTCCCGGGTTTGAAACAAAGTCAATGTGTTAGTGTCCTTTGGTAAGGTATTGATCCTCATTCCCTCGGAGAGGTCTAAAAGTCTTCAGTCCCCTGATTGCTTGCTTGCAAGCATACACACCCTTTCTTAGCAGTCGGGTAAAAAAAAAAACATCAAACCAAGTGTCTCCAGAAACATTTGATAATAATAACAATAATAATAATCTTTTAAAGTCCACTCCAAATTTTATTAAGTTAAACCGAAAATGGGATACAGTCTATTATCATATTCCTGGTATATTCCACCCATTTCATTTCACAGAAACAATGTACTGATGCAGACTTCTACACCCTCCCCGACCTGACTCAACTGGAAGCCAAATACATCCTCAACTATCTACTGGAGCAAGAGGGTCGAAGGATCACCGAGGAGCAGCACAAGACAGTGATGAAGGCAATGGAGGAGGTTTCCTCACCGCTGTATCTGAGGCTGATCTGTGACCAGGCCGTTGGGTGGAAGAGTTTCTCAGAGAAGAGGGAGACATACTTAGCGACGGATCTGAGAAAGATGATAAGTGGTAGGTTGGTGCACTAAAAAGATGTTGTGAAGGGCCAATATTCCTTGAAGCAGAATAGTGGCAAGATTGGTAGATATCTGACAAACGGTTAGGTGGACGAGTTTCTCAGAGAAGAGAGAGACGTACATAGCAACGGATCTGAGGAAGATGATTAGTGGTAGGTTGAAGCAATAAAAAGATGTTGTGAATGGTCAATATTCCTTGAAGCAGAATAGTGGCAAGATTGGTAAATATCTGACAAAGGGTTTTGATTTAGGATGTTTGTTGCATGGTAGAACTTCTTGGAGAAGAGAAAAGGGTAGGTGGCAACATACTTGTGGAAGATGACCAGTCATATCACATTGCAAGAGTAAAGAGGAACAAATCTTTAGGGGTTCACTGTTAAAACTGTAACTCCTCGATGAGCTATAGGCACTGCACTATGCCCATTAACTTTGTCTCTGGTCACAGTACAGTTTCGAGATCATTGTGGGCAATTGTTTTACCCATGCCCCTGAAAGCAGTCAATATTTGTATGATAGTGTTTAGCACTTTGGTTGCTTTCTTCAACTCTCTGCACAGTCCCTCATTTGCCACACCTGCAAATCTGCACAAAACAATATGGACCAATTTATGAATAGATTGTTTGGTGCAATACCATATCTTTGAAAGGTTACTAATTTTGATTAGCTCCATGACAATTACCCTTTTAGCACCGGCAGTGATTAATCTTGACATTGAAACAGTTGAATAATCTTGAAACTTTAGGATATCTATCTGAAGATATATATATTGTGGCATAAAGATGTTTATGTAGCATAATAAAGAATGAAACATGAGGATACTATTTACTTTCTATTTAGGTGTCCTGATGTCGCTTGAAGCCAAACACGGTGAACCTCTGGTAAGGCGATGCCTTGGCTACCTGACAGCTGCCAGAAGTGGGCTTTCCTGGACAGAACTCAACGACATCCTCTCCTGCGACGAACATGCCATGACGGATGTCGCCAGGAACCACTCACCGGCCCTGAGACGCATGCCGCCCGCCCTCTGGTGTCGACTCAAGACTGACTTGAGGAAGCTGTTCAGGGTGTGGAAGGTTGATGGGGTGTGGGTGTGGAGATGGGCGGATCAGCAGTTCAGAGAAGCAGCAACAGAGAGGTTTGTAGTCTTGTTTCCTAAAGAATCAGATGGAACATTTACCCTATGTACGATCTGCCCCATGTAGATTTGCTCTTCTTATTATATGTTTCTTTTTCATTCTTTACTGACAACTAACAAGGTTCATTTTATGCTATGTATGTTGTTGTATTTATTTGTGTTTCAAACCTTGTATTCAGGACTCGGTGAACTACCAGAAATATATATTTGTAGATTTGGAGCAGTATAAACTTTAAATTTTTTACTAAATATGCAATGTAATATCATCGTGTTTGTAAAATTCACAGGTATCTAAATCAAAAGGACAAAGCCCCTTCCTACCACAGCGCTCTCGCTGAATACTTCATGGGCAGGTGGGGCGAGCGGAAGAAGCCGTTCCCTGGCAACGAGGGCGGAGCTGACCGGTTCGTTAACCCTCAGCCTCTTCTGATGACCAGACTTAAGCCTTCAGGTATGTAGGAGTGTTTTTGATTGTCATGTTTGGTGTTATGGTTTTGAACGCAGGTTGTGGCTTTTAACAAGTTTTTTGTTTACACAATCAAATTTTTAAGTTTTATACCTCATGAGTACTTCACCCACAAACTACTTTAGATGACTTAGATATAGAACATTGGTCTCACTACCAGGGGTGTGTTTCACAAAGACTAAGCTTGACTTTAAGTTGGACTTAACTATGGCAGGCTGTTCATGCCACTTTTTCCTTTAACCTTTTCTGGCATTTGTTTCTAAAGGGACGTATAAATCGTGGTCTCAAATCTACAGAATTTATATGTTGTGATAGTTCATTATTGAAGGAAAAAGTATTATCCAAAGATCATAATTGAGAGACCAATAATGAGAGCAACCAGTGGCATGAACGACCTGCCAAAGTTAGGTCCAACTTAAAGTCGATCTTAGTCTTTGTGAAACACTCCACAGGATGTCCAAGTCGATGCTCTTGTGCCTTTTGGTAAGGCAATGGGCCTAACCCTCATTACTAAAATTGCTCAGCGAGGACTTTTAAAAAGCTGTTGGTTCTCTGTTTTGCTTAGATTCAAGCATATACATGATTTGTTAGTAATCTGGTTAAACAAAAACCAATAAAAAGTCCCAAATATCTCCCATTTGGGATTGCTGGTTCCACATTATCAGCTATTCTTTATTCCCAATTCTCTGACAAAGTCTTCTATAGTTCTTATGCCAAAAGGTATTAACAAAAAAATGATTGTGTAAACATAAAATATGTACTAACTTCAATCACTAGCTCGTTTTCAAATTTGATTTTGCTGCTTTCTACTAAAATGTGTTGTACTTAGTGCTCTGTATAAAAAATTAGTTGCACAGTGTTTAGCATATATAGACTAATTCCCTGCAATGTAGTCTGTTTGAAGACTATTGAATTCTACCTTCTGTAGACCCAGTAACTCTAACTATCATTTAGAAAAGTGAGCCTGATTTAAACTTGTCCGAAGAACAATACTATTTCAAAAGCTTAAATTCTCTTTTAAATTTTCTTTAATCAGTTTAATTCAGTTTGATCAACTGGAATATGCCATTTTGTTTGATGCCAAACAATTCTATACAAAAAAGCTATATTTATTCTGCATCACTTCAAATTTCCTTCCCTATTTATAACAAGCATCTTTTTTCATTTTGCATTGCTTTCTTTAGAGTGTCCTATAATTTCTCCAGTTTTAAAAATAAATTTTGTGTTTTCTTATCCTTTTTTTATTTGCTGTGTGTTATTACACTTTCAGTGCAGTACCCTTTCAAAATGTAGTATACTTGCTGAGTGATTAACATGTGATACGTATATGAACTAACTGTAATTGCTTGCAGTATTGTAAAACCAAAAACTTGTTGTGTACATGAAAGTTTGATGCACTTCAGATTGGTCTGAAGTCCAGATTCGCTAACCTTTCCTACCTAGAATGAAATTACACTGTTGCCCATGAACTTGAAACAAATTTTATTTACATCTTTTCACGAAAGGATTGGGATTATATGGTTTATTCTTGATAGATATGGTTCATTATCTTCTCAGAATGTTATTGATCAACCTCTTTGAAATTTATATTGACGGTTTGACCAATAAATTTCTGAGAAGATATACACTTTTTCTGCCAAGAATGAACCATATTGTCACAATAATTTTGTGAAAAAAGGTTGTGAACAAAATGTATTCAAACATTAATAGCAACAGTGCATGTATACAACATCTTAGTTTGCAATTGCTAAAGTTTCTCTACTGCAAATGACATATTTTCTAAATGAGCTAAGGTGTCATGTTACAAAGTTTCATGGTTTTACAGTGTTTTTGTTGGATTTTTTTTTCAAATAATATTGCACTTATGCACTTCCTTGGCTGTGGCTTCTGACTGTTTGTAATGCATGCCTTTTGCACACTAAAGATCGTCCGTATAAAAGGGGTAAGTACTGGCTCACTAATATAATCTCAATTTGTTTCTTTTCAATCATTGCCTACATAAACTCCTTAAAAAGAGCTCTGCAACTCAAGTTCGAGTGTTAATGATATTGATATGTTAATGTTAATGTTAATGATATCCATATTGTTACGACGTCTGTTTATTTGTTCTAGAATGATACCCCATCTTTAATGATTATGTAATCATGGAATGTGCAGTACAGCTGAATATGGGGCCAAGTCAAAAGCGAAATGTTTTAAAATGCGTTATTAGTGTCAGCAGTGAGTGCCTCAACATCATTCAAGAGACAATCCATTCTCCAAACAAATGTAGAAAACACTGTTGACAATATTATACACAAAGGTGTGACTTTTTGTGACGTTGTGTCATTATGACGTTGATTAATAATCAATAGTTTGGAGAAAGAAATAAGCGATAATGTGTGGTTTCATGCTTCTTTTATCAAAATAATTGAATAATTAACCAACAGAAAAAGAAGCATCAATACATGTATAATGCCATTAAATGGAATGGAAAGTTCAAGCAATTCACTTTGGGATATATGGCAGTGGAATGCACAATGTTCGCAGATAATAAATAGCCAAAAGCCTTTAAGCCCCACTGTACTACTTGTAACTTCCTACTCCCCTTATATAGAAAACAATGCCTAAGCGGTGCGCATTGGTCCCCCATGATCCTCTTTTTCTGATGTTAATTGAGAGCTGATTTCATGAGATAACCACCTGTCAGTGACTTTAGAGGGAGGTCTAATCCCCCCTGGCCAAACTAGTACAGACAGGCTTTAATACTAACATTTATATGATAATTAGGTGTTGCAACAAAGGAGTACAACATGCGAAAGCTGAATGAGCTCCCCTACCACCTCCTCCATGCAAGCCAACTTGACAAGCTGAAGGCAGAGGCTCTCATCAACTATGAGTGGACCCTTGCCAAGCTGAGGGCGGTTTCTCTGCGTGCCATCCAGGACGACCTCCAGAGCGCCCTTACTGTTCACCCTGATGACCTCGAGGTCAGACTGATGAGCAGCACCCTCCATCTCTCAACAAGTGCATTACTGAAGGTAAATATATGTAAAGGATGTATAAAAGTTCCAGTTAAAGTTCAGTCAAATTCATAAAGTAGATAAATAGAATGGTGTATTGATTGGCCTGCACCTATTTTAACACCAAGTATCTGGGATTGATAGTAACTGGCCAATTTGAAAAATCCATGTCATTGTCATACATACATTCATTGTTATTTTCTCTGTTGCTTTGCAGGATCCGAACCAGCTTGCCTCCCAACTGGTCGGGCGCCTCTACAACATCATCAGCAACGACAAACCCATGTCAATTGGCGACCCTAAGAAGTACTCCACCGTCGCTTCAATGCTCAACCAAGCCCAGCGGTCCTCCGTCCCCGCCCTCATCCCCTCAGTGTCATGCCTCGCCCAGCCAGGGGGCGTGCTCTACGACCTCCTGGCAGGTCACACAGAGGTCATCACCGCTGTGACGGTGTCGAGGTTGACGATGGGCGTGGCTGCGACGGCTTCGAGGGATGGTTCGGTAAAGCTGTGGGATTTGAAGAACAGGAAGGTCATGAAGACTGTTGAAGGAGTAGGGAAAGAGGTGAGCTGAGCTTAGCAAAACCTACTGGTTTGAAAGGTAGCATCTGGTATGGTTGAGGGTTGCTGGAAGTTTAGTTTGTTGGTGGCTAGAAGATTGCACATCTGTGTCATACAAATTGAGATGAGACCTTTGAGACTTCAGGCTATTTCAAGTTGTTGGTCACTTTTGTCGGAAGAGTACTGTTACATGCCTGGGCTGTTAAATGATGAGATGTTTATGATGTGGCTTTATCATGTCATCATGGTTGAGAGTTACTGTAAGATTAGTTTGTTGACGGCTAGAAGAGTGTACATTGATATAAGACTTTCAGGCTCCAGGCTATTTCATATGAGTTCAATCAAGTCGTTGGTCACTTTTGTTGGAAGACTAGCTGTTACATACCTTGGACTTTTAAATGTTGAGATGTTTATGATGTGGCTCTATCATGTCATCTAATTAACTCATCAAGGAACTTCTATAGCAGATGTACTGAGATATGATATACATCGTTCATTTTAAGAAGTGTAAGAGAGAACTGTACTTGTTCACTAGTTACTAATTTTTTCTGTGAATCCTTAGAATTAGAACATGTTTTCTTTTCTAGTAGGTCAATGGCAAATCTGGAAAAGAAGAACATTTATATATGCTATAGAACCTATTGTTCGCCATTAAACAAAATGTTGAATCATGCCATATTTGTCTACCTGTTCCTTTTTATTCCACAGATTTCATCAATAAGGCTATGTAAGAATGACTCCATAGCCGTCACTGTGGAATCAAGCCGCATCAAGTTCAACTCCTTCAGCAACGGCATTTGCCTCTTGGAGATCACCCAGTACATCGACCCTCCTGTCATCACAACGGCCAGCGAAAACGATAACCTCGTGGTGGCGCTATTCACAGGGTCAAATGTCATGCGTACCTGGGACGTGTCGGGGGAGAACGTCCAGGTTCTGGTAGAGGTCGATATCGGAGGTCAAGGTATTCACCAGGACGAGTCCCTAAGCGTATCCTTTAGCCCCTTTGGTGAGAGAGTCCTGTATGCATACAGGAGCAGTAATACAGCGTTTGTGGTGAATGCCAAAACAGGGAACAAGGTAGGTGTAAATTCAAACTGTTGTAAATTCAAAATGTTTATTTTCGCCTACCCATCTTCCAAGGAAAAACATTTCTTCTAGTAATTATAAATTATGCATGATTGTAAGCCATTAATTGTTTTATTAGCCATCTTTGTAATGCCTCTGGGATTCTAGTCCAATCATATATCTCTTTTGCAGACGTAATATCTCTCCCACAAAAAAACGTAAATGATTTGTATGCAGTAATGGAGCATTATTAGAGATCTCTTTCATCAATGTCGTATATCTCTCTCAAATAAGGCTCTTCCTTTATACTTTAATTGACATGTAATTGAAGATAGACCTTAGTTTTATACATAATTTCAATTGAGAATCATGTTGAGAAACCTGTGGGGTAAATATTCTTTGTTCAGGACAGCTCTAGGTTTGCAGCCAATTTAAAAGTGAAATTTTCTTGTTGTGATTTCGGGGCATTTTATTCCTTGTGGTTTCTCCTTAGCAGGTCCACACAACTTTACACCCCCTAAACCTTCCGCTTCCACCACAGCCCTTTATGTATCAATTAAATGCCTGGCTGTTTATTTAAATACTTTCAATAATATGTTTTCATGGAATTCAGACGTTTGAATCTCTTTCATATGGTTCATCACTTACAGGTCCACGCAACCTGACAATGAATCAAACCTACCGCTTCCATCACGGCCCTTAGAGTTTCTAAGGACCACCATATGTGTTGGCATGTCGGTACATATTCTATGGATTCAAAACATCTTAATATCTTTCTTATGGTTCCTCATTTGCAGATCCACGACCTAACACCCCCTAAAAAATCAGCCTCCATTACTGCTCTCGATGTATCTCACCTGGCTGTTTATTTGGCTACTGTTATTAATATGTTTGCATGGATTTAAAACATCTTAATATTTTTCTTATGGTTCATCATTTGCAGATCCACAACCTAACGCCCCCTAAGCAATCAGCCTCCATCACTGCTCTGGGTGTATCAAAGGATTACTACGTGGTGGCGTGTCGGTACATGTTCCAGAAGGTCTCTGAGATCCATCAGCTGGAGCTCTTTGATATCAAGAGCGGAGCCTACCTCAGGGCAATACAAGGTAAAGGAAAAGATGGAATTAGTTTTAAAGGGATTGGGTATCTTTGCCACAGATTCTAAACATAATCCTGGATTAAGCTCATGCTGCAAACATAATCATAAACCTCTGGGTCAGTCAGGAATCCCATGACTTTTACAAGCCGATTGCCTGTCTGATTTATCAAGATATTTATGATTGGAAATCAAAATATCAAATATCATTTTCCCAACGGTTTTTATGACACTAAAGTATATTGGGGAGAAGGGGTATATGGTAAATCCGGACACTCAAAGATTTTTACTTTTTTGAGGCACTTCATGATCATTTTGAAACACAATTTTGTTTAGGGCTTTAATATTACAGCTTTAATAGGCTTTAAAGGGGTAGTCTAGCCTGATATCTAGCTAGGACATTATGAACACGTGAATGTTTTGCTACTCCATTAGGTAAAAATCAGGGATTTTTTCTTGTTGTTGAAATTGATACAAACTTTGATGTTGTAGATCGTATAGTGCAAAAAATAGATAATGGTATCATTTCAAAATGAGTCTGTCCAAAACCTGTGTCAATCATTCTCTAGCTCAGGTCTCCTTACATCGGCCATTCCCCTTGGATTTCTTTTTTCTTACACTTTCTCCTTCCCCTTCCATTTCTCCACAATCAGGCTGCACAACGGATATCGTGAATGAGCTGTATGTCAACCGGCTGGGGTCCCACGCTCTCACTGTGTGCCCTAACCCACATACAAACACAACGACGCTCGCCGTATGGAATCTAGAAACGGAAGATCACAAGCATCTTGCCAAGCATGCACAGGTAAAAATCAAGTTTTTCTATAAATAATTTGCTACAGTGATCAACTCAGTTCACATGTGGATGCTCAGGAAAACATGTTACACATGTTTTGCATGAAAATTTACCAATAATGAAGCCTAGGGGGGTCACTCCTAACATAAGTGGCTACGCACACCCGCATCCAAGAAAAAGCGGCGAAGCAGTGTCTTTTTCAGCTATACGGCGGCGTCGACATTTTCCTTAACCCGTTTACTACTGAATTATCTTATTCCCATAGGCTTAACACAGGGACCACCAGGTTCCCGTAAGCAATGGGTTAAAAAAGGGGTGTTTTTCAAGCACTGATCGCTCAAAAACCCCAAAAAGGGTACCTTTTCAGGATCACAGGTTTTGATGTTTTCTTTAAAAAGGGTCATTTCAGAAAAGGTGCAATGTGCTATCTATTAGGGTCCATTTCAAATATTGATGGACACGGCTCGGTAGTATTTGGGTATGAGAGTGACCCCCCTGGGTAGTGAAGATGACCCTCTATGATTGAACAATTAGATATAATCTCCACAAAAGTGTTTTTGAAAATTATAGAGGAAGATCTGGGCCCCATATCACAAAACTTGTCATCGGTGACAAATGACAGTTTTTGTTATGAGCTAGTTTTGTTGTCATGGTAACGCAGGGAACGCCTTTGTCAACAGGAAGATATTATTGCTTAAAACTTTTTTCCCTGTCCAGATGTCCAAATTTGGTGCCTGCATGGACCTGCTGTACTTCCTGACCGCGTCACAGACGAGCAAGTCCCTGCGCATCTGGAACATCAGCCGGAAGGTCAACGAGCGGGACAACGACGCCGCCAAGTCCAAGAAGACCCTCGGAGTGACCGGTCTGGTGCCCATGATCAACAACCCGCGCTACGTCGTGGCCAAGTCGGTCAAGAACGGCCCCCTGAGCGTGTGGAACGTGGTGAAGGGGAAGTGCGCCGGGAATGCAGTGAGGATTGAGAGGGGGCTCGTGGACTCGCATGATGTGGTCCTGATCAGGAATCATCAGGTTGTTATTCTGTCGGATCTGGGCATGTCCAGCGTGAGCGAGAAACCGTCTCAGGTCAGTCTTGTCTAGAAATTTAACTTTTAAAGCCCCACTGCACTTCTTACAGCTACTTGCGCCCTCTATATAGCAAACAATGCCTAATCGGTGACCATGCATTGGTCCCCCGTGGTCCCTTTTTTCTAAAGTTTATTGAGAGCTGATTTGATGAGATAACCACCTGTCAGTGACCTTGCAGGGAGGGCTAATCCCCCCTGCTCTAATTAGTGCAGTGGGGCTTTAAGTGTTCTTTATACTTTCATGGGCAATTAATAGGATAATCAAAATGAGAACAATTTATTTTATGATCTCCTCACTAATTTAAAGGTATATTTGCTTTTGTTTGTCTGTCTTACAATAAGCACCTTAGGTGTGTTCTGCCAATCATGTAATTATTAGAAGTGCTTTTAGGCTTCTCTGTAGCTGGCTCTGTAGCGTTTCATTTTACCATTATCATAAGTTATAGTAGTAGTAGTAGTAGTTTAAATCCCACCGCTGCCACCATGTCAAACAAACAAGTAACTTAGAAGTTAGGAACATGTTGTAATGTAGTAGATCAGTAACCAGACTTTTATGATTGGAGGGCCCTTGGGTCTGGAGAATGGTAGTAATAGAAGATTAATGATTATTGATATTATTATTATTATTATTATTATTATTATAAGTATTAGTATTATTATTGTATTAGTATTATTATTATTGGTATTATTAACTATTATTTTTGATATTATTATTATTGTTATTATTACTACATGTACTTTTATTATTAGTAGTATTATTATTATTGTAATTGATATGAATATTATAATTAGTCTTGGTATTAATATAATTGTTATAAATTATTACGATTATGATTATTATTATAACTATTATTACTATATCATTATTATATCTTACATATTTCTCAGGTGTTTCAGACTGTTTTCATGTATGATCTTGGGACTAAGAAGTACATCAGGAAACTGACTGGGGTCTTCATAGTGCCCTCTCCAGCCCACGAATACAGACTACTTGATGGGGAATTGCTTCTAGGGTAAGAGTTCTATTCAGACCTGTCTGTAAACTCCTTTAAATGCCACACAAATAATCTACCTGTGCCGTATTGTATTTATCATAGGGTAGATGTACAAAAGGCTTCAAGACTTATCTAACGGTTTCAATGCTAGATTAATCTAAACCAGTGTTAAAAGGGTGTAATGGAGCTAATCAATACTGAAGATTGGTCATTTTACAAAGCCATTTTGTTGCCAAAAGCAACCTTTCCTTCAATAGGTACACATTGTCCTGTACAAAATTGCAAATGTGGCTAGCGAGCGACTGCGCTTGAGAGGTGAAGAGAGCAATCAAAGTATTAAGGCCACCCAATGCAAGAAAAACAGGAAAAGTGACTGCTGTAGACTACTGTCTCCCTTGCATATAAAGGCTACGAATTAAATGCTTAATTCATGCTTTGCTTTGATCTGGGTGTTGGTTTACAGAAATCTGGGCCTTGTTTCGTAAAACTTGTTATCAATAGCATGTGTCACATTTTTATAACGAATTTGCTGTCGGACAATCAAGTGCTTATAACAGATATTGCAACTTGTTATTGATAACAAGTTTGATAAAACAGGGTCCAGACCAACGATTGAAAAGAGTCCAGTAATATCATTTTGATACTCAAGTCTGCTCACATCAATTTTAAAATTGCAAGCTAATTGAAAGAAATGTGAACTCTATCACCGGTTCGTCTTTTTTCAATACTATTGAAAGGAGTAATCTAAATCTGGCCTTTTTTAAAAATAAATCAGGCTTTCAGAGACGAGGGATCACTTCATCGCATGGAACCTTGAGTCAGGTCACATCAAGTTTAGGATCAAGACGGGATTCAAGACGGATCGACTCCAGGTGAAGAAGGAGGTGGAGGAACTTCGTTCCAGACTCAAGAGACAGAACACTGCCGATATGATGCCATGGGAACGGAGGTATGATCATAACGTTTTAAAAGATTGATGAGAACGTTTTAAAAGATTGATATTAACGATTTAAAAGATTGATAATAACGTTTTAAAAGATTGATAACAATGTTTTAAAAGATTGAAAATAACGTTTTAAAAGATTGATAACAACGTTTTAAAAGATTGAAAATAATGTTTTAAAAGATTGATAATAAAGTTTTAAAAGATAGATGATAACGTTTTAAAAGATTTATGATAACGTTTTAAAAGATAGATGATAACGTTATAAAAGATTGATAAAAACGTTTTAAAGATTGATGATAATGATGTTATAATGATAATACTATACATAGAGAACATGATTATAACAAATATTTAAAAAATTGTTATTATTTAAAATAAAAAGGTACCTTTTATAATGAGGTTCCACTGTTTTCATTACTCACTTGTTTATAGATCAGAGAGTCAGGAGGAGAGACAGAAGAGGAAAGAGATGGAGTTGGAGAAGGAGAGGAAGAGATTGGAAGATCTAAGAAAGGAAAAGGAGAATGCCATTCAGCATTACTTAATGAGTCAGGATGAGAAGGTCCTGGTGTGTTCCTACTTTGGCCACCACCTCTGTGTCTTCAACGTAGAAACACAACAGCACATGCAGACTGTTGAGAACGAGAGCTCCATGCTCCAGCTCTACGTTGCTGCTCTCTCGCCGGAAGGAAAGTATCTCGCCCATGTGAACTATGACGACAATGACAAGGTCAGCTACGTTACGGTGTGGAACCTCCACAAAGGCGAGGTCCGGAAGCGTCTGAAGCGAGAGTCAAACGTCTGCTGCATCGGGATGAATGACGACGCCTCGCGGGTGCTGTTCGGGAATGAACGCCACCAACTGAAGGTATGGGACATCCAGAGAGGCAGGAGCACCTTGCGCAGGCTGCGGACATCGACGCAAGCACTAGAGTTCACCACTAGCACCAAGATCTTCATGATAGATAATGGCTCGCGTGCTGTCATCGTGGCCAGTGACATCACGCTGTGGGATCTTGATCACGCAACGCAACTAGCCATGTTCACCCCTGACCTACGGATCTCCTGTGTCGAGGTGGTCATGTCTGGACAGATGATTCTTCTAGGTCTCCAGGACTCTTCGGACGTTGTGACCCTGAGGCTAAAGGGTCGGGACATCAAGCCACCAGACTTTCTGACTGGTGAAGCAGGAGGGAAGGAACTGTTTGGAGAAACTACGGGGGATACCTCGCCAGAAGAAGAGGAAGAAGAGGAGGAGGAAGAGGAGGAGGATAATTAGGTCATCATGTCACATGACCTTCAGTACTTGTGTGGATTTTTCCTTACTTTGGGAAATTCATTCATTTACTCTTATCCTTATAGCCAAGCCAAACGAACACAAAGATGAAAATCGTGAGGGTTCTGATTTTGATGCTTATCACACCCCTTAAAATTATCCAGATTTTTATCCATTTTGTTGGAATAAAGATCAAAGATCCTTTTCGTAACCTTTCACTGTAAGGGGCCTTTAACTCACAAGCATAGCTTTTACCATTGGTCCCTCAATATTTCACTCTTCTTTTTAGTTCAGACTTTTGATTTAATGCGTTTGAACAAATTTATATGAGGCATACTTTCTCTCTTTTGTCTCTGTTATGTAAATCCCTATTTATTTATACTTTCTACTTTGTGAAATCATGGCAAATTTTGAAATTAGTTGAAATATGAATTAATAAACATTCCAATACATTTAGTAATAGAATTCAGACTAACAAATGGTCTGAGTGCCATACATATTATTATGTACAAAATTTGTATGTGTAGAATCTGTGCCATAAAGCCTCATCGGTACAGTAAAGGTCAGTACCTATGTCACTTGACACCAGTTCTTTAGCTGATAGATTCTCTGAGTTATATTCCAAGAATATATGATTACTATTTCCAACAAAAACCATATTACTATTTATATTTTATTTGTTATGTTTGTCTACATGCATCTTAACAGGCCGGTCATCAACTTCAATTGGTTACTTATTTTGCTTTGGAAGCCATTTCTCAATTTAAAACAAATTTATCCAGTATATAGAATTTAGTCATATAGAATTTTCGTTTTATCTTTGTCTACGTAGTTTGTTTGTCATGGTCATGTTTTACCCTTATAATATTTGATTTAACCCGTTCAACTCGGGAACCGAGATTTCTCGGGTCCCGAGGTACGTACTCACAAACGGGAACCGAGATTTCTCGGGTCCGAGCAAGGGCTTCTCTTATTGCAAAAAAGTACATCTATTCACCTTCTAAATACAATAACAACTACCTGTATACAAACCTTGAACCTTTGGCTACATGCATCTCATTTTTTACCGACTGTAGATGCGTAATTTTTGTTTTATTACAAGTTTAGCATGAGAATGCACGAGTCCTCTTTCAGGATATTCGTATAGAACACATGCAAGTCGGTATACGTTATTTTCATAGATTTTCGAATTCGCTGCTGCTAGCTAGCTGGGTCTACTATGCCTAGGACTGTGTAAGCCGGACATAATGATTTTACAAGCAGCCAATTTCACACTCGCTCTGGATACCTTTGTACTCGGCACGCGCGGATACACCGTTCAATGCATGAGCCTTGGCCTTATATGGTCATTGATGCCTATTCATGGTAACGGGCCGATTATTGAAAAGCTTATAGTATATTACAGTCTCGTTCGACCTAGCGCTCTCAGTTCAGTTTACTCATGCGTACGTATACAGGGTACCGGGCCGACCTATTATTGGGGAGATTAGCTAGTCTCGATATAGTCCATCCCATTGTTTCGTTTCAAGGTTGTCGGCTATTATTTACTTATCGAGCTATAAAGTGTCGGAGTTTTACTATTTAGTTCAGCTTTTTTATTTTCATGATAGTTGGTTGCACAAATTAGTTCTCAATTCTTTGCTTATAACTGCTCTTTATCTATGTAAGATAGTTTCTCAAAATGTCTCGTCATCGGAGAAAGCCTATTTTTAGCGTTGAAGATGCTCGAGAAGCGATCCTTGACTCGGACTCAGAAAATGAATATGATAAAATGGACTTATCAAGCGAAGAAGAGTATTCGTTGGACGTAGAAAATGAAGAATATGAAACAACGACTTTCGATGATATTTCCATAAGTTATCTATAAAGCCTGTCGTCTCAAAAGTTTTGACTCCACAGCTATCTTTTACGTCATTGTATTTACATGACAATACGCTTTTCATTTTATCAACTTGACCAATTTAGCGAATCATTCATGTATG